ATTATTCCAGAGACTTCTGGAATTCTACTTCTTCCCAGATAATCGATTATTTTCCTAGTCTTACTTACAATAATCGATTAAATTTTACAATAATCGATTATTTCAGAAAAGTTTTGTTTCACTATTTTAAACCTTATAAACCTTTCCTCATCCATTACATCTCTTAAAAACACTATTTTATACACCACATTTCAATGTTCTATACACACATCAATCAAGTTTTATTTAAACAATCACACTCAAGTGCACATTTAGAGATGATATTTTGTTAATGCATGTTATTAAGAAAAAGGAAAAGATAAATTGGGTTTCAGTTGTGAATGATTGTATCTGGAAGGCTAAGAGAAAGGAGGATGGTCCAATACCCTATGCTTTATTGCTATCTAGAATTTTTGAGAAGGCTGGAGTAGATCTTCAAAGGGAGAAAAAGATAATTCTCCATGCCTCAAACAAGATTGAAAAATCTTCTTTGCATCATATGGGGAATTTGTTGTAATTTGTGGTCTTCGGGTTTCTTTGACAATCCCGAAAGGTTGACAACTCTTCAAAGTCCCCAAAATTGAAAGGTTGGGGTTTCATGCTCCTTGTTCCACTCATCCTAGCCACTTATTTCAAGGTTGGTCCATCTAGCTTTATGAGTTTCCCTTTCACCATTGATTGCATTATTCCCTCATTGCTTGAGGTGAAGCACAAAAACAGCCTTATAAGTTCCGGGTAATACAAACCTTCCAGCTCCAAGAACTTTCTAAGCTCTTGATGCTCCAATAGAGGAGGAAAACTGAAACCCTCACTCTTGAACCACTCCAACTTCAAAGTCTTCGAAGGAATGATACCACTACCCGCATACCACTCAAAGTAGTAGTCTTGGGTTTCTTTGTCAGCGAACCACTTGGAGATCAGTTGCTCAGCCCCTGTGGGCAGAGGTCTTTTGCTCCCCTTGACTTCAAGCTTCTTGATTCTCTTGGAAGATGAGGCCATTTTGTGACTAAAGATGGGTTCTTGATTTGGAGAAGAGAAGATGAAGATGAATGCTTAGGGTTAGGGTTTGTGTGTTAAACTTGAGAGAATGAATGGGTCTTATAGAAAACAAGAGGGTTAAGTGATTCTAAAACCCTAGATACCGGATTGGGTAGACCTTGAGTGTGATTTTCGACAAAGCTTGCAGGCTCTAAGGCCATTCTTGGGTTGGTCGTATGCCAACCACTCTCTATGTTTACACGTTCATGCCCTGGGTGTAAAGGGAACTTTTGTATGCAAGGGTTTGTGTACAATTGTTATCTCAAACAGGTGCGAAATTTAAAAAAACAAACAGATATCAAAGCCAAACAAGTAAAACAAGCAAAGTAGAGGGGAAAAGATATTTGAACTATTATTCTTATTTTTCTAATTTTATCCTTCATTTGGACCTGACCCTCTTTAAGCTTTTCTAGTGGAGTCGTCATCTGTCGGAACCTGAAAAATTTTGATCTTGCCCACAGATGGTTTGGACCTCTATTTTGAAATTTTCATCGGTTAGGGAATGCCCGATAACCAGATTAATCCCTAATCAATGGTTTTTGAAAAATTTCGAAGGAGTCGCCACCAATATTTTACTAAAAAATATCAGAAAAAGAAAAGATTTTGAAATTACAATAACGATCTTCATAGCTAGAATTGGGTTCGGGAATCGATTACGTGTATAAAAGGTGTTAGGCATCCTACAACATCCTAAATCCGTATCCTATGATGATATTACCATAATAATAAATAAAAATTTAAATATCTTATCCTTTTTTATTATTTAATATTATTTACATGACAAAAAATACTTATTATCTACACAATTATTTATTTACATATAAGAATTATAAATAAATAAATAAATAAATAAAACAATAAACAAAATAATAAATAAAATAAATTAAAATAATATATATAAAAGAAGAATTTAGAACCTCCGATGCATGCCCTTTATAAGGGAATCTTCCCAAATACATGCGGGGCACGTTTTTCAGTAGCCCTTCGTTCTACAAAAGTCTCACTATCACTCAAAGATTTATATAGGGAGGAGGGAAGCTATGCAGCTTTTTGGTTCCCTAATCCCATGGCTAAAGGGTTTCTTATATAGGCAACTAGGAGATAGAAGCATAAGAGAACTATTCTATGTGAGACTAAATTTTATAAAAATATAATCTTTTTCTAGGTACCATGCAGGACCTCTACAGAACTCATTAACCGTCAGATCGTGCTGGTTTTTTATGGTATCCTAACAATATATGTATCTTCAATTCAACAGTTGGATCGTTGAAATCAAGTTCCTAGTGAGAGATACTATCATAACAAAAACTCTATCTAGTATAAGACTCTTGTTTTCCACCTGCAATGCGAGGCCTCTAAAGAATTTATTAACCATTGGATCATGCTGAAAATTTGATGATATCTTTATAATACATTGATCTTTAACTTCAACGGTCGGATCACTAAAATTAGTTCTTTAGCGAAAGTTATTATGAGAACAAAAACACTGCCCAATGCAATTTTTTTTGGAATGGTAAACGTGTCGTTCTAGTTTTGGAACGGGTCATTCCAACATTGAGAATGATCCGTTCCAATTTGAGAATGGTTGTTCCATACCCCAGATTAGTTTTTTTGAGTTTTATGGCCCTTCCAAATCCATCTTGGCCCGTTTAGGTGCTCTATTGGGCCCTTAAGGGCCGTACATACTACTATTTCCAACTACAACTCAGGGGTCCCAAAATGGGGGCGAGAAGGAGAAGAAGCCAACTCTCTATCTCCCTCCATACCAAATGCTACCCAGGCAAATGCACGATAAAGAAGAACAAAGACAAAAAGATAGTACTTGAGACTTTGAGACAAACCCTTGAAGATGAACAGAACAACAACCTTAAGGGCAACAAGAAGACACCACAAATATGGAAACAATGAGAGGGAAAGTGCAAGCACAAAAGTGAGACAGAAATAAAAAAAAAGAGAATGTAAGAATACTTTTGAAAAAAGGAGAGGGGGCACTACAAGACAAAAAAATTGGCCGAGCACCCCTCATTAATAGATGTAATTATGACAGGCTACATCTCGTCATTAAAGAGCGCAACCTGTCATTAAGGCGTTGCCCTTTGTTACAAAAAGACGTGCCATTTCAAAAATGAGACATGAAGCCCAATGTCTGTAAAATGAAGGGACTCCGTAGTAGGCGATATGAAGAGTCACGATGTTCCCTCACGGCTTCTCGATAGCTCCACCATTCTTACATCATTTAGAGCTCGAGGGGCTAGTGTATTGACTTGACCGAACTTACAAGATCGACCAAAGACAGAAGACATCGACATTACAAGGTCATATAATACAATAACAATATTAGCATACCACATCGGGTAAGCAAGGTCATGTCATTTGAAGACCTAGTCAAACAATATAAGATATGATTACAACATCTATGTCACAAAGATTGTAACACCAACAGAAAAAATAATATTATTTCTAAAAAGATATGTGCATTATAAATAAGAGGCATCTCCATCATCAAATACTAACTTAAGTATTAAAATCTCTTTTACAAATACTTCTTCATCAACATTATAAGTCAAATAGAATAAAAAGAACCATCTCACCCAAGAAAGTCAATACAAAGCTATCTTATATGAGATCAAATTTATTAATTAGATTTGGTTCAAAATTGGATTCATAAATCAAGTCGAATACACTACTACAAGATGCATATTTTACATCGGTTCTCTAAAGTCATCTACATCGGTTCTAAAATCGATGTAGAATAGAGCGACGTAGAAAATGTATACATTTTTATATCAATTCTGAAAAACTGAAGTAGATTTAAGCATAAATTTACATCAGTTCTTTGGAGAACCGATGTAGAATTATACTTAAATCTACATCGATTTTCTTAAGAACCGATGTAGATTGCATTTTTAAAAAAAAAAAAATCATGCTTATTTTTGGATTATTTCTGATTACAAGAAAACACTTAGTACTCCAAAATAAAATCTGCTAGTATCTTGTACGAAAGGAAAAAATGGGAATAATATCAGGTTAGTGAGTCCCAAGGATCTACATAAGTAACAAAATGAAAAATGAAACAGGATAAATATCAATGAAACATGCAACCCCAAACTAGTAGCAACCATAAGTTCATCATCCTCAACAGAACTGTTTATGGGTAAATACCTGTGAATCCAGTATCTAAAAAGAAATGAAAGACAACAAGAAAACTTCAGCTAACTACTTTCAAGTAGAAATATTTTGTAATAAAGATTCTACAATAATGCTGCAAGTATCATAGAGTCCAGACCACCGGAGAAAAGAATTTCCACAGGAACAAATTTCTCTTTCGTGATACCAGGTATCACAGCCTACGCAATTGAATCCAAAGATTCTTATCTTGAGTCATACAAAATTACGAATATAAATAACACTATCAAGTTTCACATGTGTTGTACGAGTATTTTAATTTAATTAAACCATATAAATAAAAAATAAATTAAAGAGAATGGTATATTAATAATGAATATTCGATCTTATTAGATAGGAATAAATTAAAACGAGAGCACTTTTAAAATTGAGGGGGAAATTATAAAAATAAATCATTTGAAGCCAAATTTTAAAAATCAAATTCAAATTAGATTGAGTAAGATTACAATAATTGTAAAGTTCAATTTATCTATAAAGAAAGAATTCCAATTTGATATAATGTCTCAATATTCAAATTTAAAATTTAAATCAAATTAAAATTAAACTTGAGTAACAGTGTTTAAAATGAATAAAAATATAAATAAAAAAATAAAATAAAATAAATACCCAATGTTAAAAAAGACATGTCACATAACTAGGAAAGAAATAGGAAATAATCCTAAATATTCCAAAAATAATAGAATATACATATTACCAGTGACATATGAATACAAAACTTGTAGCCAGTTCCAATTAAGTTGCATACCTGATAAATAGTATACAATGATGTACGCCTTAACACAGACTCCTTTAAAGCATTAAGCAAAATATAAGTTGATGGCATTGGAATTACAGGTTGAATTGAGCCTACATAATGACTTTTTCCCCTTTTTCTTGTAAAGCTAGAATTTTTAGTCAGACCAGCAGTCAAACAGATGACCTACCTAGCCCTCATATTCATTCCTCCACTAGTCCAGGTTTACAACAATGTAACTAACAAGAAAATCCAAATAATTAAAATATACAGGGGAGCAAAAACTCTGTAATTTGACATTAGAGAAATAAAATCATTCATGAACCTAATCTAACAGCTTGAGCTTTAAGCAGAGTTGGTCCTTGACAATTAAAAGCAAGTGAGAATGAGGGGGAAGAAAAAATTTTAAGAAGTGATATTTAACATTTCTTATAGCCTTCTCACCCCTTGTTTCATAATTCTCAATAAAAAAACCTAATGGAGTTCCAATTCAACTGTTCTGATGCAAGATCCTTTGTCATCTTTCCCAATTCAACTGTTCTGATGCAAGCTGGTTCCAGTTTCTATGTGAAGTCCAACAATCTAGCATTTCCATCCAACTTTGCCCTGTAACAATTAGGATGCGTTTGGAAAACCTTACTTTTATGATATAGCTTTTCAATGTATTTGGATAAGCTTTTAAAAGAAAATGCTTATATGGTGCCTTTCTTTTCAGATCTTTTCTTAAACTTATGTAAAAACTGAAAACATCACAACAACTTCTTTTAGGTTTTTGTTGGATCTCTTTTTAAAAAATTTATATAACTATAGAACTTCTAAACCTGTTTTTAATTATAAATAAGTTTTTTTTAATAAAAGCAATCAAAATATCAGTTTTCATTGAGCAACTTTGCAACAGAGATTGTATTTTTAAACTACTTGAGTCATGAGAAAATATTAACAGGAGAGTGAATTTACCAATTTTAGCTTTCCTGCATATTGGCTATGTCCAGCCTAAACAATAGACGGTGACATATAGTAATCAACACTTGCTATTATAAAGTAAAATTCAAATGTCAAATAAGTTTTAGCTTTTCATGAACCTAAAATAAGGTGATATAATGGATTAAATGCTAAATGAGCAATATGTATTTGGTATAAATTGTTACCCTGAAAATTTTAAAGAAATTTTAAATTCCAAATTTTCAATTAAATAATATAAAATAACAGAAACGAGTACACTAGAGACGAATAGCTAAACCTGTTCATCTCTATTTCCAACAGATGCAAGCCCTATGAAACGAGTGACATGCACAGCATCTACATTGGAATATGGTTCACGGGCATAGTATATTCCTTTAGTGCCTACAATGTGATAACTACCCCCAAAAAAAATCATGAGAAAAAACTGCAATGGCTAGAATCGGCCTTCTTTTACAGAGGCCACAAGAGAGTCCACAAAAGGCACATTTAGCATACCAAATTCCTCCAGGACATATGGCACAAATCCTGATCTATTCATGATTCTCGTATAGCCCTAGTCTTGTAATTTTAATTAATCTCATGCTTATTAACCCAACCAAATCCATTTACTTTTTACTGCTAGTGAAATTGTCATTCCCAGTTACAAGGACAACAAATGCAATATCAAAATTCACTATCCTATAACAAGTATACGGAACATGATAGAACACACAAACCCTCAAGTGAACAAGGAACCAGCGGCCTTACCCTGTCAAATCTCAAGTGCACAATCCAACCAAAAACTGTGAAATGTAGTTCACGCATACAATTCTATTCATTAAACATAAAGTACCTAAGATGTTAACTACCTTTATGGTAGTTCCACACAAAACTTTCAACAACAAAAAATGTAGCTGCTATCTATCTAACAATTACTGTGGTTTGATCTCTTACACTAACTCTGATATAGTTGAATCACTGCCGACAGCCTTAGAGAGTCCAGCAGGAATGTCCGAAGCAGCTAGTCTATTGGTCACCCCACTTGGCCATTCGTTAGTAATAACAAATCAAGGAAGTGAACAAACAGAAACACATTACATCTAGCCATCTACTTAGCTTATATACAACGTGAGATGGGAAGTAACTAACTAAGAACCTCGATGGCCTCGCTCCCCCTGCTGAGGGTGCAATAGCCATTCATGATGGTGTTGTAGAGGAAGCAATCGGGCTTGAAGCCCTCGCGATGGAGGACAACGACGAGGCGCGTGGCCTCTCAGAGGTTCTTGGAGTTGCAGACGTTGTCGATGAGGATGGTGTAGGTGACGAGGTCGGGCTTGAGGGCGAAGTCGGGGCACATCTCGTCGATGAAGGCATAGACGGAGGAGAAGGGGCGGGACTTGCAGAGGTGCTTGAGGAGGTGGTTGAAGGTGAAGGTGTCCGGGGGGCAGTGCTTGGAGGCGAATTCCTTGAGCAATTGGACGGCGTGGTCGAGACGGGAGGCGGAGCAGAGGGCACGGACGGCGATGTCAGCGGTGGCGACGTCGGGGGCGAAGCCGGAGGAGAGCACGAGGTTTAGAGTTTGGTGGATGGGGGAGAGGGATTGGGAGTAGGAGGAGGCGGCATGGGTTTAAGTTGCTGATGAGTGAAAGGGAAAAAATTAGGTTCTCATTTCTACATAGATCATAAGTAAAATCGATGTAAAACAATTCTTGAATTTTATTTTTACATTTATCATAAGTAAAATTGATGTAAATATATTTTTATTTTTTATTTATTTACAAATTATTGATTTTACTATAATTGATGTAAATATGATGTTAAATAATATTCTAGTAGTAGTGATAGAAATCTTAACTGATTTTGATGGATATCGGTTCGGATAATTTTCTTAAAATATGTGATACATGCACACTCCTATGATGTAATCTAGACCTGTCCATATCACCTGCTAAATATTATTACGAATTAGAAAAACCATGGGACCAAACATAAGTCATGTTCCCACCGAAGAAACACAATGGTACGTGTTTACAGAGAACATGTGTCCAGGTACGTGGCCAACACATATAATAGACTTACATTGTCTGAAATCTGAATCCCTGGTATACTGCTACCACACAGACCTAAAAGTCTATCACATGGATCATAAATAACCACGCTGCCACCTGCAATGATCATTCAAGCAAAATGAAATCAAACCAGGACACGTTGCGCAAAGATTCTGCCATACGTACTCCCTTTTATCAATATGAATCAGAGATGACAGTTCAACATTTAACTCAACAAAAATGAATTTAATGTAGCGTCGTTTCTATGAAACGTAGAGGAAACAATTTGTGTTCTTTGACTAAATGCACCATGCATTTCTAGGATACGCAGAGGAAACAATGTGTTCTTTATCTAGAGTTTGGCGATTCTATCCTTCTAGACTGATATTAAAATTAGAAGTATTATTTTATTTTTCATATAAATCAATTTATTGAAAAGGAATTATACTTTTTGATCATAAAAAATTGTACCTGTTTGAAGGGCACACTCGTAATTTTCTTGTATGCTGAGGGTCGAACGAGATCTCCGATCGAATATTCCAATAAAGGGGAAGTACTTGCAAAAGGCACTCCGATGCTCAAGTTAGGACAAAGCACAGATATCGATAACAATTAATGAACAGTGACGTGACCTCGTGACATGAGTTATTTATACTGACATTGATGGGCCCGGACTCTCATGGGTCCTGTAACAGGATTACCATATTAGATAATACGTCTCTAATCGACTTATTGGTGTAATTAATCCTTAACTGTTAATTAAGAGTGATCTCTAATTGTTAATTAGGGAGATCTGGACTTATAGATTATCTAGTAGCCGATCGGCTGTCGGCTACCTAGTTCGGCCGCTTGGGTGCCGATTGAGTATCGGCCACCTGGTGACTGAATGGTCTTACTAGTACAAAAATGAATAATTTGTATTTTATTTAAAAATATTTTTCTTTTATAAATAAAGTGGTCATATCAGCATTAAAATTTGCTGCATTTTTCATTCTATTCGAATCCGTACTTACTATGCCGACCTGATAAATCAACTGGAAGAAATGAACAGAGAAAACGAAAGAAGATTAACATATACATGGGAAAGTGGAGAAACGAATGTTTTTCTTATACAATTACAAAATTATCTTTATATACATTTTTACTTTTATTTAATATTATTAAAGTCATTTATATTTCTTCTTTATTTTCTACACAACTAATTTTATAAAAAGAAAAAGTTATATATTATTTTATTTGAGTTAATTAACTATTAATGTAAAAAAATTTATATCGATATTCAATTATATATTTTAATAGTATCATGTTAATTGTTTATTTAATAAAATAAAAATAAAATTAAATAATTTAAAAAATATGATTAATTATTAATGTAAAAAATTTTATACTTACAGTATATTAATGATTAATTTATTTTATTTACTCTTCTTTCAATTTTAATTTCATTATTTTTTTTCACGTTGTACTTCGTCTCATAAAGCTAGCATATCCCAATATCCATAGTTTAGTTGAATATGATGGTATACCACGTGGATAGCTAATGAACACTAACTAAAGTCACCTGCATGTATCTCCATTGTCACGGATGATAAAATGGGACACTTCGACCAATGTAAGTCCAATCATGGTATTAAAAAGAGTCAGACATCTTAGAGCACTTTAAATGAGATGCTTGTTGTATATCTTAAAAATAAGTAATAGTATTTATTAAAAAAAATTATTGGAATTATTTTATATGACAAGTTAAGTTTTAAATTTTTTAGCTTTATTGTTTCTTCAAGCAACAATGCTTAGCAATCTAAAATTTAAAATGGAGAGGTATGATTAATTGATTTGATCCAAGATGAAATATGGATAGAAAATTTGGAAAAAGTGTAGTATGAGGTGTCAAAAAGTGTAGTATTAGTTATAAAAAAATAGGAATGCTTATAAGCAATTTTTATTGAAACAAAAATTGTAAAAATATAGTATGAGTTGCTTATGAGTGACATGACACAGTGGGACCCATTTAAATTGGCTGAGAGTTGCTTATAAGCAACTCCCACTGTAAATACTCTTAGTTCATCTTGTTTAAGAGTGGGTTAATGAGTCACTAAGTTGCTTCGAGGAACATGATTATCCTTATTTATACTTACATGTAGTTGAAAATATTGTTTTAAAAACTAAATTGATTATCAAATCAATCAAATTACTATATTAGTAAGTTTGAGGTCGAACAAGTTAGTCATTAATTAAAAAATATTCATATATATATATATATCATGCTTTAAAAAAACTCTCAAAAAGTTTGTAATCGATATAATACTAGCAAAGCAAACAAATTATTAGGTCAAAAGTCAAACTTAGGTCTTTCTGATTTAAAGTTTTGTTGTTGAACAAAGAGGTTTTTGATTAATAGAAAATATTTTAAAATGACTTAAATGAATCTTTTGATAAGACACAACTTCTCACTAAGATGCAATTTTTCATAAGACGAATGTTTGTAAAATACGAAAATTGCACTAAGATGAAACTTTATTTATAAAGACAGATATGCATTAAATTGTTGTCATTTGTGATCTCTAAAAAAGGAAGTGACTGAGTTTGAATGTTCCTTACTAGATCGAATTCAAAAAATGTTTCCTCAGTACCTACACTTTACAAAAAATGGAAAGAAAGATATGTCTTGCATTAGAAAAGGGTAAACAATTCTCTACAAATAGGGTAAGTTGTAGTTAAAGTTGTTTCAATACTATGCCAACCTGACACGTGCATGGTTCTATCCATTTGATACCTAAAAGGTGATAAATAACTTCTTTGATTAGATAAGAAGTGACAATTTGGTAAAAACATTTAATGCAAGCATTTGTTACACAAACAAACACTTCTCTCCTTAAAAAGCAAAATAAGAAGACGGACGAAACAAGTCAAGTGAGAAAAACTCATGGATTTGCAACTGTCATATTCTTTGAAGCGCCTATAAAAGGAAACTTAGTGATTCAAACAAAATAGAGATGCATATACACGTATAGAGATTTAGAGAATGCATAAAGAAATATTTTTATTCTATACATTACCTTTGTACTTAATTTGTTGTATCATATTTTGAAAGGAAGACGAAAAAATTTTCAAACCTTTGTAACTTTGAGTTGTTGGAACACGAAAAAATTCAATCTTGCCTACAGATGGTTTAGACTTCTACTTAGAGATCTCACCAGTTAGGGAATGCTCGAAAATCAGACTAATCCTTAATAATGATTTTTGATAAAGGTTCTTAGGAGTCGTGTAGACACCCAATTTCGTCACGGGTACCCAAACCAAGGACAAAGGTCTACTAGAGCAAGACAAACAACCCTTGAGGGGTCCAACGCATTCGGCAACATTTTTGTTATGATAATATCTTATGTTAAAAACTAAATTTTGACGATCTGACCGTTGAAGTTAAATATCAATGTATTGAGAAGATATCATCAAAATTTTAGCATGATCCAATAGTTAATGAATTCTCTAGAAGTCTCACACTGTAAATAGGAAAAGTAGCATGTACGGCCCCTAAGGGCCCAATAAAGCACCTAAACGGGCCAAGATGGCTCTCGAAGGCCCAGAAAACTCAACAAAACTAATCTAGGGCACGGAACGACCATTCCCAAATTGGAACGGTTCGTTCCCAATGTTGGAACGGTTGTTCCCCTTTTCAAAAAATTTTACATTGGGCAACATTTTTTTTCTTCTGATAATATCTCTTGCTAAAGACCTAATTTTGACGATCCAACCATTGAAGTTAAATACCAATGTATTAAGAAGATATCATCAAAGTTTTAGCATGATCCAACGGTTAATGATTTCTCTAGCGGCCTCGCAATGCAGCTAGGAAATATGAATCCTATACTAGAAGGGAAAAACTAATGTTGCTGATGCTTTGTCAAGGAGACATACTTTACTTGTCTCTCTTGGATCCCAAATCTTGGGATTTGATCACATTAAGGAGTTGTATACCAATGACTCTGAATTTAGTGAAACATTTACCCAATGTTTGCATAAGCCTTAAGGAGGTTTCTATGTGTATGAGGGGTACTTATATAGAGAAGGACGAATTTGCATACCCCAAGGATCCACTAGAAAGCTCCTTGTTAAAGAAAGTCATGAGGGTGGTCTCATGGGGCACTTTGGAGTTGAGAAAACTCTAAGTCTATTAAAAGAAAAATTCTTTTGGCCCCACATGAGAAAGGATGTTGAGAGGTTTTGCTCTAGATGTATAGCTTATTTACAAGCAAAGTCTAAAGTAATGCCTCATGACTCCTATATACCCTTACATGTTGCTAACTCTCCATGGGTTGATATAAGCATGGATTTTATATTGGGCTTGCCCAGGACCTAGAGAGGCATGGATTTTATCTTTGTGGTAGTAGACAGATTTAGTAAAATGACTCATTTTATTCCCTGCCACAAGATAGATGATGTTAGAAACATAGCAAGACTCTTCTTTAAGGAAATGGTTAGACTTCATGGTCTAACCAAAACTATGGTGTCAAATAGGGATACTAAGTTTCTTAGTCATTTTTGGAGAACTTTTTGGAGTAGACTAGGAACTAAACTACTTTTCTCAACTACTTGTGATCCCCAGACTGATGGGCAAACTAAAGTAGTTAATAGATCCCTA